CTCTCTCTCTCTTCTTTTTTGTTTCTTTTTAACACGAATTAATACCCATAAAATTTGATTTACATAATACCTACCAATTAACAACGATAATGATTTCGTTGAAATAAAATAATATCCATCGTGTATTAATTTATATAAAATAACGTGTAACGTTTAAATAAAAACATGAGAATAATAAGGATAAAATATATATATATATTAAAAAAAAAACCCCATTTGTAGAAAATAAAAAGGAAAGAGATAAATAAGCAATGAAAAATCTTACTCTTACGAGCAGCTTCCTCCTCCTCCTCCTCCTAATCTTCCTCTTCTACTTCTTCTGCATTATTCTTGGATGCGTCCTTTTGTTCGTTGCATTCATTAGTAAACATTATACGGCATAGTTTATCGAGAAGAAAAACAACAGTGTAGCTTGAGAAGAACACCATAGTGAACGCGACGCACCATACACCGGTTAGACGAGCAACGTACTTATTCTTCTTATTCTATTTCTTTCTCTAAGTAAGTTAGTCCGTTTGTGGTTGAGTGAAATAAAAAGAGAAAGGAAAGAAAAAGTAACAGAGAGGAAGAGAGTGAGAGAGTGAGAGAGAGAGAGAGAGAGAGAGGGGGGTTTATTTCCCGAGGGATCGAGAGAATCTTTTTTACTTTCTTACTTTTTTTTTTTTTTTTTATTTCAACGAACATTCGTCGAGCTTTCTTTTCTCCTCCCTTTTCTTTCTTCCTTCTACCCACTCTCTCTCTCCTCTCTCTCTCTTTCTCTAATACTCTTTCCTTCCATTGCTTTAATAGTTCGTCAAAAAAAAAAAAAGGAAAAAAAATAGGAGAGTAATAGAGAGAGAGAGAGAGAGAGAGAGAGAGAGAGAGAGAGAAGAACGAAGGACGCGTTTCCTTTGGTCGAGAAAAATTCGTTCGTTCGTTTCGTTGAGAAACGAAAGAAGAAAGAAAGAAAGAAAGCAGGGGAAAAAGGAGACGAAGGAGGAGGGTGAGAAGGGAGGATAAATAGGGCTGGGGGGGTGGAAGTTGGGGTGGATAGAAGAGGGAAAAGAATCGTCCATAATCCATAAATTCGTGAAAAATAAATAATACAGAAGCTTCTGACGTTACATGTGCAAGAGAAAGATAGATAGATAGATAGATAGATAGATACGAGTAGATAGAATGAGATAGAAAAAGAAAGAGAGAAATAAATAAAAAAAAAAATACATTTCTTCTTCTTCTTATTCTTCATTTTTTTCTTCTTATTCTACTACTTCTTCTACTTCTTTTCCTTTCCTCGGGTTGTTGTATCATCTCATCCTTTATCTTCTTTCATTCTTCGTATCTTATCTATATCCTCTTTCTACTTAAACCTAAGTACGATCAAGTATTACAAGATTCAAAGACCATCTGCTAGTTTTCTTCTTGCTTTATCCTGAATATATCCACGATTCTACCACCCAACCACCCACCCGTCCCCCCTCTATCTCTCTCTCTCTCTCTCTTTCTTTCATTCTTTCTTTCTTTATTTCTTTCTCTTTTTCTTTCTCGATCTTTGAACGAGTCTCTTATACCTAATGGACTGTACTAGGAGTCGAGACTTTAAGCAAGAAATATTCGAGACGGAAGTAAATCCAGCCAACCCCCTTCGTAACTCCCTCTCCCCTTTCCCTTACCCCTACTCCTCTATTTCTTTCTTTCTTTCTTCTTTCTCTTTTATTCTCTTTCTCTTTCTCGATTTCTTTTCCTCATCTCTCTCTCTCTCTCTCTCTCTCTCTCTCTTTATCATCATCTTTCAGTTTAATATCTCACCTTGAAGCTGTTTAAACGAGAGCTCCTCTTATATAGAAAGAGCAAGAGAGAGAGATCTTGACTATATCGAGTTAACTATTGCCATAGCAATAGCCATAGACGCTTTATGGCCAGTTTGAGGATTCCTTTTATGTTCTGCTCGACGATTCCAAGGGTTTCTTAGCACGAAACCGACATGTTTCTCTCATTCGATTTTTTCCTCTCCCTCTTTCTCTCCTCTCTTTCTTTCTTTCTTACCTTTTTTCCATTTTAATCGTAACTTTCGATTTTTGGTTACACCAACATTACAATCCTTACACACACCATAGCCACTAATATATAATAATAATTAAATATACTCTGATTGATTATTTATTCGTATTATAAAACACATATATCATTTTCTTTTAACAATTACCAATCCCCCATTACCTTGATATCCAATATACACCACCCTATCTCATTACGTGATTTATTAATTATTATTATTATTATTATTATTATTGATCGGACGAATTAGAAATCACTCGCTATCATTTTCTCTCTCTCTCTTTCTCTTTTTAATATATTCTATATTTAAAATTCCATTTTCTTTCTCAACGTTTAAATCCCATCACCATAACTAATACACCACCACCACCACCACCACCATCGTACTGATTTATCGATTATTATTCACGACTGGACCTATTCGGAATTTATTGGAAAACGCATAATTCGCTTGGTGTGTGTTGTGTACTATATATATATATATGCCATATGTACATATATTGAAATTTAACAGAACGTTCTCGCGCAATACGCCATAATTCATTCGTTCGTTATTAATGAAGCCCTTTGCCTCCACCCCCTACCCCTAACTCTACCTCTACCTACTTCTATCTCTCTCTCCTACCATCCCCTTTCTTCCCATCTGCCACTTCCTCTTCTTCTTTCCTTCTCTTTCTTTCTTTCTTTATCTCTCTCTCTTTCTATTTTACCTCGTTATTCTATTCAGTTAAAATTGTTTATTATTTAAACTCGACGCGATTACGGTAGTTTGAGGTTGGACGTAGTTAGAACGTAATCAGAAATAATTTAAACGGCCCGTTTACCACCGCCATCCCCTCCTCCCCCCCCCCCCCCTCTGTTACCGTTGTTTTTGTTGTTGCCGTTGTTACCGTAACCACCCCGTTCTCCCTCTTGTATTTATACACTAAGCGATAAATTTATTATTTCATACTGACTAAGCACCGTTCACCACCACCACCACCATCACCATCACCATATCTAAAGGGATAGAGGGGGAAGGGGTTATCTAAGGAAACCAACCCCACCTCTTCCACCCCTCCTAGACCACTGGGATAAATAATGGGAACGTTTTCGTTCTCTTCTCACTATTATACAATAAACCCCCCCGTTATAAATACTTTTCTTTACCATTTTATTCTCTCATCTTTATTTTCTTTATTGGGGGGGGGGGTTTGTTTTTTTTTCTCTCTTTTTTTTTCCTTCATTTAATATTTCGAAGAAGAAGAAGAAGAAGATGATGATCTTCGTTTCAGAAATGTTTAGGAAATTATCGGCTGTTTATTAAACACTTTTTTAACTTTCTCATTCTTTAGTGTTTTTTTTTTTTCTTTTTTTCTTTTTTTATTCGTACTAAGGAATGTTGTTTTTATTTTAATTTTATATCCCGTCTCGTTTAATAATTAATTAAATATCTTAAATATATTACGTTGTTATTGATTATGATGATGATGATGATTATGATGATGATGATGATGATGATGATTCTGTAACATTATTATTATTATTATTTTTTTTTCGAAGATTTCATATTGAATCTCGAGAAAAAAAAAAATGTAATTTCTATCTATAAATTTAACGATCAAACACGAACGAATATAAAAAAAAACTTGTCTTACACACACAATTTAGTCAAATATATTTCTCAGTTATAGAAATTATCCTCATTTTTTTGTTTTTTTTTTTCTTCAAATCTGGCGAATGAAATAAAAATGTAAATTCTTCAATCGTTAATAATAGATTTGAAAGTTTGAAGAATTATCATGTTCCTCTTTCCCTCTCCCTCTCTCTCCCTAACTCTTTTTTTTTGTTCCCTCTTCTTTCGTACTTCTCGTTCGTGTAAATTTTTTTGATGATTTAACAAGAAAATATACATGAAGAAGATTTATGTTGAAACATCGTAGATGTTACTTCTACTTCTTCTTGTTCGAGAATCTCTTTTCCTTGAATAATCACGAGCTTTTTTTTTGTCGCTATGTTGTTTTTTTCTTTTTTCTGTCACTTTTTCGAATAGTTTACGACATAAGTTTATACTCGGATTAAAAGCATCTTCTCTTAAAGAAGTCCCCTTTTCCGGGTGTCACCTCTTTCCTTTCGTTTCGTTTCGTTTCTTTGAAGAAGCTTCCTTCTTTTACTCCTACAACTACTACCCCTTACCCCTTACTCAACTCACCATTTATCTCTCCCCCCCCTCTCACTCTTTCTTTCTTTCTTTCTCTGCTTCTTCTTCTTCTTCCTCCGAGTGAAGTCGCACTCGGAAGATGAAACTTCGAAAGGAATCAACGAAGAGATTTCTAATCCCTCTTTTCATCCTCTTTAAATAGTCCTCGTTTTAAAAGAGGGTGGTGTGCCCTCCTCCTCGTCACGATTCAGATCGAATTGCGAAAGCTTTTACTCTTTTTCTAAGGCATCGGATTTCTTTACGGCTGATATCTTCTAATAAACGATTAGTTTACTCTCTCTCTCTCTCTCTCTCTCTCTCATACACACTTATACACTATAACACAAACTCTTAACAAAATTGAATAAAGAAAGATGGATCTCTCTCTCTTATGTATCTTTTTCTTTTTTTAATTTTGATTTTCCATTTTTATTTTCTTTTCTTTTCTATTCTTTTCTATTCGTTTTTGCGTATAATCTACACTCTCGAATATAATATTACTATTTAATAATATTATTTTAATAATATTATTTTTTCTATATACATATTTATTATTATTATTATTATTATTATTATTATTATTATATATTCTTATTTTTATTTATTATTGTTTGTAATCAAAATTTATTGGAAAATTTAACTTCGTTGGTAACATCGACAACGGACTACGTTGACCACCAACACGACTATGACTATGACGATAACTATGACTATGACGACTAAGACGATGACGATGAAACTAACGAGAGAGGGGGTCTCATTATCTTTCAATTGTTTGTTTCAGAGGGGTAGCGACGAGCTTCTGTCGCAAAGTGGTGCAGTAAGCAATGGTGCTGCTATGAGTCCTCAGCCCCATCACGCGGCTGACAACAACAATGACGCTAAAAAGGTATGGGAAATGTTTCAACACAATTTTACCTTTATTTTTTTTTTTTTTCTTTAATTAATTTGTTTCTTTTTTCTCCATCTTTTCATTCTACGTTTTAGATTTCTAAAAGGATGATAGTTTAATCAAACATTTGCACGTCTTTCGTAGATTTTTGTGTTGTATTAGACACATTTTTGCATACATACATACATACATACATACATACATTCGTACGTAATTTTACATATTACATATATGTGTATATATATATATTTAATTATATTATTTTAATATAGACGCAATTTATACCATAGGCTTCTTTCTTTTTTTGTTTTTTTTTTTATATTCAAAATAACGCAAATTCGATATTCCAATATTTTGTTTCCTTTCTATATTAATATATTATTCTTTATGGTTTTTCATCCCATTCTTAAACTTTTCATTTTTTTTATATAAATACACATATGTTTTTTTATTCTATTACTCCCCACCCCCACTATTCAACTCCAACACTCCCTTATTAATATTACTTTTTTTTTTTAATAAGACCGATCAGCACCACCGAACGATAACTCGAGAACGTTTGTATTCGTTGTACGAACTCCGACCATGCATGAATACGTTTTTTATATTTCCTTTTTTTATTATTATTATTATTATTATTATTATTTCTTTCCCTTTTTCTCTGCGAACAGTTTTCCCTTTAAACTTTGTTTAGTTAGTGCACGTTTTTATTGTTAATATTATACAAAAGTCCAGTGTAAAACACGTATTACCAACTCATACACGTACGTCGATAATTATCGTCCTTTCTCCTCTCCCCCCTGCCCCACAGAAAAAGTATTTTTTTTCTTTTTTCTTTCCTTTTGGTATGTATAATTCCTTTTTATTTTATTTTTTTTGTTATTTTATTTCTAAACTAACAAATTCCAAAATAAAAGAGACACGGGCTCGTCGGTATACGTAAGCAGAAAAATCAGTGAGTAAAAAGAACATTTTTTTTTGTTTAAACGACGAATAAATTTTGTCTTTTATACTTTGTTTTTTTTCCCCTCCGCCTATTTTTAATTATTGTAATTAGACACACTTATTTTTTTATGTGTTATGTGTATATATATCTGATTTATCTGTCTCTCTCACTCACGTTCCTCTCAACGAAGAAGAATAAATAAAAAAAAGAGACACGCACAGATAATGATGATGACGATGATGATAATGATGATGAGAAGGAATCGTTTTAACGAAGAAAAAATGAGAAAACGATAGAATGAGATTTTAATTATAGGAAATTTTATAAATGATCTTCGATCAATCGATGATTATTATTATTACTCTCATCTTGTATATTTTTCACATACGAATTTCATATCATACATGCATATATATCATACACACATACGTATATATATTTTAATATATATATATATATATGTGTGTGTGTGTGTGTGTGAGTGCATGTATACGTATATATATTTTAATATATATGTGTATGTGAGTGCATGCATACGTGTATATTTATGAATGTGTTGTATATGCTGCATCTTTTTTTAATCTCATTTTTATATTCTCTTTCTCTCTCTCTCTCTCTCTTTCTGTTCTCTCGTTATTTGTGGTTTAGTTAAAAGTTATTATTTTGTATTTTGATGTAAAAAAAAAAATTGAACAAGATTTTTCTTTTTAATTTTCTTTTCTTTTCCTTTTTCGTTTTTCTCATCATATTTTTTCTATCCGCTCGTTCTCGAAATAATTATTGGTAAAAGTAAAAAAAGAAAAAGTATAAAATTCATAACGTTGAACCTGTTAATTAGGAAAGATTTTCGATCGGTGAACGCGCGCGGACGTTTGAAAATTATTTTGATTTAAAATGAAATGTTCACGATGGGGTGTCAGGGAAACACATTGGGATTAATTAATGGAATAACGTTGAAATAATGAAGAATTCGGACGAATAATGTTTTTTTTTCCTTTTCTTTTTTTTCATTGCGACGTTCAAATGATTTATTTATTTATTTATTTATTTATTTTTATCAAGAGAAAAGAAGTAAAATATTCGTTACGAAATTAATTGGTTTTCCATCGATTAACGGGTCGTTAATCCTCACGATGCATGATTAATTTTAATAAAAATATAACAAAAGGAACAATAGGAAGATATTTTTGATTAAATATCCGAGATGCATTATTATCTTCGCAATTTTACGAGCCCCGCGTAAATAAATAAAGTAACAATTAAAACGTAGAATTAATAGACCACAATTATATTACCAATTAATTTTCTATTTCTATAATAAAACATTTAATGGATTAAACTTTTGTAAATCCGCAGTGGTGTAACACGTGCAAAAAGGAAAAATAGTATAAATTATCCTAATTTGTATTTCATAGAATAATTAATGCATTAACCCTTTTTGTTCATGCAACCCATACGTATAAGAGTAACAATTAAAATTATAATTAATATAATAAAACTTGTATATCACACTATCTGATATGTATTTATGATACATTATACAACATTTATCTTATTAACAACTCCCAACAATAATGCAATAAAACCACTAACGTTAAAATTATATAAATAACAATAGAAACAATACTTTATACTCGTTATCTTAATTCCTATTAAATACAACGTTAAATCTAGTAATTAATAATCCGAAAAGTAAGAACACGCATTCTTCAAGGGGTTACGAACCAAAAAAAATCATTCTCGAGGGCAACTCGAGAAACTACAAATTTCATTGTTTTTATAAATAAAAACTAAAGATATATACATCAAGTGTGTGTTTTATATTTAACCACGCATACCTTAGAAAAGTTATCTATATATACAAATCTATGTGTATTTCCTTGGATTACTTCACAAGCGTTAAAATAGTAACTCCGTAACAGGCCGGGGGGAAAAGAGACAAAAAAAAAAAAATGGAAAAAAAGCTCGATACTCGTCGTGTTTCAAACAGAAAATGAGACGCGGGGAGGGGGTGGGAGAAAAGTTGACGGCGGCGGTGGTGGTGGTGTGGGCTACGGGTAGAAGGGTGGGAGGGGGTACGTGTAAGGGAAATAAAAAATGCGATGCGAAAAAAGTCGCATCTAGAACGGATCGTTAAAGCGACCGCGTTGGTGGTGTTTCTCACTTATACAGGGGGGTTGAAGGGGTGATAGGGGGTGGAAAAAAGAAATGGTGCTGGTGCTGCTCTTTGGGGAAGGGGAAAGTGTGAGAAGGGTTGAAGAGGAAATATATATCGATGTGTATGCGTGTGTGTGTGTCTCCTCTGTGTCTCTATGTGTATCTGTGTGTGTTTGTTAAATGTGTTAGTAGTAGTAATACATGATAGGATGGTACCCGCAGATTCGGTGACAAAGCTTCTCTCTTCGTAACTCTTTCCTTCTCTCTCTCTCTCTCTCTCTCTCTCTCTCTCTCACACTCTCTTTCTCTCTTCTTTTACTTTGAAAACGTATACGCTCTACTTTTCGCAAATATGTATACTACGCGTGTACGTATTATTAAATGCACGCGTTTTTTTTTTTTTTTCGGGATGTGGTAGAGAAAAGAGGATAGAAAAGAAAGAGAGAGAGAGAGAGAGAGAGAGAGAGAGGATGTGTTTGTGTAAAAATGAAACGAACGAGAAGAAAAAAAAAAACAAAAAATTAGAAAAAGAAAGAAAAAAAGAAAGCAAAAAAAGAAAAAGAAAATGAATTGTTAACAACACGTTTCGTGGGTCCCGTGTGTAATTCGAACCACACTTTCCATACTCATTTGACTGCATTTGTTTAAAAAGGAAAGAGTGATAAAGATAGAGATAAAGTGTTGTATGTGCTATGGTAGTAGTAATAATATATGTGAGAGAGAGAGATAGGTGATGATGATGGGTGGGGAAATAAATGAAGAAAAAAAAGGTGGAATAATATTCGCATCTTTTTTTGGTGGGTTCTCTCTCTCTCTCTATTTTTATCATATATTTTTTTTTTCTTTTTCTATTAAATATTCGTTCTTGTTTTTTTTTTCTTTTTTTTTTNATATATTTTTTTTTTCTTTTTCTATTAAATATTCGTGTTCGTTTTTTTTTTTTTTTTTTTTTTTTTTTTTTCTTCATACATCACTACAAAAAAAAAACGTAAATCATTTCAATGAAGAAAGGGGGTGGAGAGAGGAAGAAGAGAAGGGGCGGGGGATTCTTTCACGTATTAAAATAGTATCTATCCAGGTTTTATATGGATCCTTTTCTTTCATCAGTGTCTCGTAAAGATATCGGTTCACGAAAAGCAATGAACGCAGTCTGGCCACGTAATGGTCATAAATATTGGAAGAAAGTAATCCCCCTATCGGAGTGAAGTAACGTCGACTTAGCTTGGTTGTTTGGTTGGTTGGTTGGTTGGTTGGTTGGTTGGTTGGCTAGCTAGCTAGGTTTCTACTAGTTTCCATGGTGTGCGTTATTATAGATCATCGTCACGAACAAACGAAAAGAAAAAAAGAGAGAGAGAGAGAGAGAGTGAGTAGGGGGTGAGGAATCTAAGGGTGGGAAAAAAAAAAGGAGAATTAATTTTATTGCAGGTAGAGAGAAAATAAAACACACTTGTTATAAGTTCTGTTGTTGTAGGACTTTTATTCGATAAAGGAAATGATTTCTTTTGATATAACTGTCCGAATTCACGCAAGTGAATTTTCATGGATGAGGAATGGGGTTAGGGGTAAGTGATGGGGAGATATGAAGAAAGAAACAAAAATACGAAGAGGGATGAAGGAATAGAACGGTAGGAGGAGGGAGGGAGGTGGTGGGAGAGTTTTGTTTAAGATTCGCACGGTTTCTCTAGCTTTCATTTTTCACCGATTTAAAATACGAATAAACTTACGAACGAGACACGCTTAGTTAAACGATATTAATAATAATAATAATAATAATAATAAAATTCCTGCAAGAAAGAGAGAGAAAGATGGATAGAGATGTGTATGTGAATAACACGATGGAACAATAAATTAGAATTATATTTTTTTCGTCGTAAAAAAGAAATATATAATATAT